TATTCTGTTACAGGAAGAAGGCCAGAAACGGGCTCTCCTTGCAGTTTGTATTGCAGGACAACTGAAGGAGAGGAATTGCTGGAGTCTCTCATCTTTGTTCTTCTTACCAAGCATTCTCTGCTGGCAGGAAAAACAACACTAATGACTCTAACTTAACATGCAATGAGGCAGGGCTGGGTAAACATAGGCAGGTAATACTTGGAACAGCCGGTCAAGCCACTTGTCAAACTGGCCCTCTACATTCCTGACCTGTCAACAGTTTTTAGACACAGGTCCTGTTTCACCCAGCCATACCCGTTACCCACTGATTTATTACCTCTTTATCCTTATTGCCTTGATGTTGTTCCTCCTCTGTTGCTGCTGAAGTCACTATGGAGCACAGTCTGATGGAAGAGGGAGAGAAGGTTTCACTTCCATGATGCCTTCCCACTCCTTCTTCCACTTCTTCACTTTCAGCCATGCCATTCTCCGCTAAAGATGGAAGATGTCAGGATGATGATATAGAGGTGGAGTTAGGCAGATAGGCTTTCTCTTAGCTTCTGGGGTTGAGAAGGTCCTGGTTGCCAGTCTTCCTCTTCTTACATATGTAGTAAAATTGGAGGGAGGAGTATGAAGTAAATTTAAACGATCCAAGACCAAGTAAAAGCATTTCATTGAAGTCTCCTCATCTGTATTTACTAAGTTATTCCTTAGCTATCCATTTAGCCTACTGAGATTTAAAACAACCATGGGTTTCTGGTGGAGGTGGCAGAGAATGGCAGGTGGGTGGGGGTGTCATCTCACTGTCCTCACCACTAATGCCACTAGAACCCTGGGAAAATATATTGAAGTGCCTTGGCATCCAAGACTGATGTTTCCAGCAAAATGTTTAATATGCAAGCCATGTGAGACCCCCTAATCAAGGGTCTTCAAACTTGGCAAGTTTAAGACTTGTGGACGTCAACTCCCAGAATTCCTAAGCTAACATGACTGGAAGAGGGATTCTGGGAGTTGAAGTCCGCAAGTCTTAAAGCTGTCAAGTTTGAAGACCCCTGCTCTAGCTATTACTCTGGTGCTAGAGATATAGAGGGACAGCAACAGAGAGGGCAAGCAGCATTATTTCCTCTCTTCAACAGCAGATCTCATGTTTTGATGATGAGTCCTTAGTAGCTAGAATGGCTTTACCTAGACCTAAGAAATTAGGAATGTTTGAAGTTTGTCAAAATAACCACTAAACAGACACACACGCACATACACTCAGACTCAAGGGAAAAAATGTAAAATGATGTACTGTTGGCGTATAGTTCCAGAAAAATCATCCATAATGTATATAGGTACTTCAAATTTATGTTGATGGAAATATGGACAACATGAAAAGTCATTTTATCACGCCTGATACACTGGTAAAAAGCCAGAAATGTCTGGGTTCAAATACATTAATATATGATATAAACTTGGACTCAGAGATTAAAATATTAAATATAAATGTTATTAAAATATAAATGTATCTATAACTGCTGTCAAGAAGATTGGAAGCTACTTTAGAATCTTTTCATTTTTTATTATTACTACTTGTTACTTTATTCTTTAATTCAACATTTGTATTGTTTTTAATTCTACTGGAAATTTTCAATAAAAACCATTTTAAAAAAGAATTCAAAAAAACCTGTATTTTCCAACTGGAGCCCCTTATGGCCTAAAGGAAACAAATGAAAAATAAATATGGAGAACTTGGAAATAGTTAAGTTCCTGAAGGAAGAATTACTTTCATCTCTAAACTGATGCTATAATTCAAAAGTAACATTAAAACAGGAGTTGCAACAGATTTGTCTCTTGAGGAGTGAGTTAAGAAATGTCAATGCCAGAAGTAAATGTTAGTTAAATCTAAATGGATTCCTAATATTGCGAGTGTTAGCTTATTTGTTAAGACACTGCTAGTTTTTGCTACCAGCCTGCTGGGTTGGTTTCGCCTTAGCTTCAACCCTGGTAAGAAAATAGTTTAAGCAAAAGGAGGTTCAGTTCTCCCCCAAAGCAAAGAGGTTTGTTCTGGGGGCAGCTGCAGAGAAAATGGAGTAGAGAAAGAGAGACTCGTTTTTATAGGGGAGCTTATTTTAGATGTGGAAGTGTATACGTGTAGATTCTAGGGTGACACTTGAGGGGCATAAATGTGTGTAGCTACATGTTATTTATGATATTTATTCTTGTGAACATCCAGTTCCGCTGGGAGACAATTTTAATTAAATCTATTTGTGTTTACAGACTTTAATATGTGGATTAGGTCCCAGTAATTTATTTGAGGATTTAAGGAAGTTTGAGTAAAAGATTCCCCACACTTTGCTATTTTTACTTGATTAACTTACTTTCAGCTTGACTGCCAATTATCTAGAGGAGACACCAATTCTCAGCCCATTGTGGGTTCTCTTAATGTTTGAGGGAAGATGGAGACAGTATAAGGAATAAAATATTTTTGATATAAAACTTCCCACAACTGCATTCCCGTGGACAAAAAATATACCTAGAAGGCAAGGCAAGTCAAGAAGAGGGGATGGATAATTACTTCAATGGAATTTGACTTGCACTTTCAGCAGTGGTAATTTGCAAGAACGTGGGTTTTTTTTGTAACTAAGGAAGCTTTCACTGGATTTGAAATACTTAGCCTTTTCATTTTTCAAAGCGGTCTCTTGCTGCTGAGAAATTAGTACATTTCCTGCAAAGCAATTTTTTAAGCCAGCAGGCAGTAGTACTGGGGTGGGGTGGGGGGGGCGCATGGGATGCCTCAAGGAGGAACTGAAGGTCCGTGACAAAGCCTCAATTTGCATGCAGATGCAGACCCTAGGTTCAGGAATGGTGATGTGAATGATCTGCCTAATGGGGCCCTAGAGAGCAACTGCCAACCAAACTGGGCAATATTGGGATACATTTTATCTACAGCAACTTTGAGGTCAGATGATCATTATCTACCCTGGCAATTCTGCCATTGTAATAATAAGGCCATATAGCTAATTAACCAGAGTGCATGCTGAGTAAGATATTAGAGAAGAATGGAGTTGGGCCACCACCTATACATGCATGCATATTCACAACTCCTATGAGCGATTTAAGGTAATTTACATTTTAATTAATGTTTAAAATTACAATATGGTTACCCACTAATACTCCCCAACTTTACTTCCTCTTCTGTTCCATACTAATCAGCAACTGATTGGTGAATGATAATACTGTATAGGCAAAGCTTCAGTAAACAGCCAACAAGTAATCACAGAGCTCCAGCAACCAGCCAGAACAGGCAGAAAATATGCAGGGAAAGGAGGCATGTTCTATTGAACACAGACGATCCACCCTCCACTGCTAATAAAGACAGCCCATACCTGCTACCTTGTTAGGAGGCCAGAAAACTGCATTAGCTTGACCAACAGGTAGAGAAGAAATGGGGAAATGCAGTCTAGTGATTTCCAAGATGTCCTTTTATTTGGAATTATTTCATCAGTGTCTACTTCAGGGGAGGATGAAGTCTGTTATGAGTAAAAATCTTTATGTGGAGCCTCCTTCTGTTCACCTGGAAATGTAGGCGTACCTCTGGGCTACCAAGGTATGAGCAACCACTAGATGGCAACCCAGACTTATAGTTTGCTGTATTTCTTTGGGACCATCTAGTTCTAGTGGTTGTGAGGACCCAGATACAGCATGCCTAAATGAAAACCTGCAGAAGTGAACTTAATCTCCAATCCATTTAATCCAATTTTCAGCAGATTAATTTGGGAAAGGATTTCTCCCTGGGGGGGAAGTATGTAGGCATAAGTGCATATATGTGCATCATCATACCTCCTGTCCCTGTCCTATTGTCCCATTTAATCGTACCTATTTTCTGTATCCTTACTCATGTTTATACTTATATCTATTATTTTGTAAGCGATTGACAAATCAAATAAATAAATAAAATAAAAATTTGGGAGGGGGGGTATTTTAATGTCCTCAACTCTTTATCCAAGCTTTCCCCCGTGTCAATCAGAGTTGGGACTTTTGAGAACACTTGTGAGGGAAATATGATTTTAATAGTAAAACAATGGCCATAACTGAATTTTGTATATATCTTTTTCTTCTTGTTTTTTAAAAATAATCCTCCCAGTGCCTGAATAGTCTTTGTTGGGGAGGGGGAGGGCTTGTCTAATGAGTCTTGAAATTCAGTAAATTTTGGAACTTTCTGCACATGTTGAAAATCCCTCTTGTTTTTCAGTAGCCTAGTTCTGAGTATTTTCCTCATGATGTCCCTTTATCTTTAAAAGATAAAATTGCTATTAACAGCTACTAAAAAATAAAAGCTGGATCATCTCTTCCTGGATCCTGCGAAAAACATAATTTTGTACTGTGTTACCAATCCAAAGCTATTTTAGACGTGTTTTCTTCAATTTGTGCTTTCTGAAAACTTCTGCTCACTTGGGACTTGTTTTTCATCTTATGCAAATTATATTAAACGTTACAAAGATAGTCCTTTTTTGTAATGGTGCAAATTCCAGAGACAGCAAAAATGTCTGCCCCCCTCCCCCCCCTTTTTTTTAATATGCGTTTCCAGCTTTGTAGAATTTTTTGAGATTTTCCTGCAGTGAGAAGGATTAACCAAATCAGCTTCAGACCCGGAGATCCTGGCATCCTGATGGGATTTGAACACCTCCAATCTTTCCATAGGCACAAAGGAGGCTTTTTCAGGGACAATGTGTCTCATGGAAAATTCTTTTTTGCTGGTAAAGAAACTCCAGTAAAGCTTCTTCAGCAAGTTAGATCTTAACTTTATATAGCTGAAACTATAATAAATGTTACTTATGAATTTTCCCTCCCTTCTTTTATACATTCCCTATACGCCTCACTTCTGGTTTTCAGGTGGTAAAGTGGGATGTGTTGTTACATTTAGTTTTTGAAGGAAAGATGATATTTATATATATATATAATACATTTTTTCCCATTTTTTCTCTCCCTCCTCCTCCTCCTCCTCCTCCCTTTTTCCTTCTTCTTTTTGCTAGGAGAGAGAGCTTTCCCCATTGGAACTGGATGGTGAGTTGGCAATGTTTAGGAAACACAAGCGGGGGGGGGGACTTTGGAATTTGGCCATGAGGGGGAGATGCAGTCCTCACTTTTTTACTGCTGATCATTAAAAAGTACTTTTACTGATTTACCCAGTTCCTAGTCTCCATTTCCATAGTGGGTATTTCAGTGTCCATTTTTGAGAAGACTTAAATGATAATGTAATTTAATTAATTTGATTTGATTATTTAGAATTTCAAATAGTTTCATCAGATCAAAGTATATTCTAGTTTGTGATTTAATCAAAAAATAGTTTGTTAAGTCAGTACCACGGGCATTTTTTAAAGAAAGGGAGTGACCAATGGAGGGTGAGCAGTTCTTGATGGAGGATGAGCAAGTAAAAATATGACACAGACCCAGTTTAGCCATTGTCATTTATTCTGGCTATTTATGAATTGCCATCAGGTAGGAAAAATGTATAAATCAGCAAGAAGTTTCCAGATGTGTAGCCGGGAGGGGTGGGAATCCAAATTTTAAAAAATTATGAAATTGTTTACAAGTAGTGCTCAACTAATGACCACAATTGAGCCCAAAATTTCTTTTCTAAGCAAGGCCCTTGTTAAGTGGGTTGTGCTCCATTTTACAACCTGTTTTGGGCACAGTTATTAAGCAAACTGTTGTAGAGCGATGGTAAGGACGAGGCATGAGACCAGAGCGTACAAGTAACTGGCTTTATTGCAATGAATAAAGGGTTGTCGCGTCTGCTAGCTAACTCGCAGACCAGCGGGCGACAACGGGCTGGCTCTGCTCGACTGCCGGCTTATATAGCCGGCTGTCAAACGGAGCCAACCAATGGGAGCTGCTGGTGCTCCCGCTCAAACAGCGGACCTGGTTGGGAACTCCAACCAGTTCCACAGACATAACACAAACTATTGCGGCTGTTAAGTGAATTATGCAGTTGTTAAGTGAATCTGGCTTCCCCTTTTGACTGCTTGTCAGAAGCCAAAAACAAAAGGTTGCAAAAGGTGATGATCACATGACTCCAGGACACTGCAACTGTCATAAATACATGCCAGTTGCCAAGTGTGATCACACTTTGATCAGGTGACCATGGGGATGCTGCAACAGTCATAAGTGTGAAAACCAGTCATAAATCACTTTTTTTCACTGACATGGCAACTTTGAATGGTCACTAAATGAATGATTGTAAGTTGAGGACTACCTGCCTATCAATAAATATTACCCTAATAGCATGTTTGCTTGCCTTTTGGATTTTTTTTCTGTTTTGTTGTTTAAGGAGGAAAGATTGTAAAAATTTATATTAGAAGAAAAGAAAGTACAGAAAGGAAAATTAGTGATAATAATAATTCTTTATGTATAGGCGTTTATTAAGGTAATAAACTGTCTCCGCTGCAAAACTGTAAATGGTCATGATGGTTCCAAATTAGCCAACATGGCAATTTTATTTGTCAAAGTGATTGCTGTCTAGACAGTACAGCTCTACAGAGATTACTTGTGCTTCTTAGCTTAAAGCAGGGGTGTCAAACCACATCAGGGTTGTGTTTGACCTCGGGGGGTGGGGAACGTGGCCAAGGTGAGTGTGGCGAGCTTGATGTCACTCGTGTCGGGGGTGCCTGTGGTGGCCCGAGCGTTCAGCCAACAAAAATGGGCTCCCAAGTTTCCATTTTCGGCTGCGATGACCTCCTGAAGCCCTCTGCCGGCAAAAATGGAGCTCGGGTGGGCCACACACAAGCTCCATTTTCGCTGGCAGAGGGCTGCAGGAGGCAGTTGCAGCTGAAAAGGGAGCCTGGGAGGGCCATGTGTAGCCCTTCTGAGCTCCATTTTAGCTGGCAGAGGCACAGTGGGCAGGTCCTTCATTGTTTCAAGGGCAACCCCATAGGCCAGATCTAAGCACCCCACAGGCCGCATCTGGCCCGCAGGCCTTGAGTTTGACACCCCTGGCTTAAAGCCAGCCTCTCCAGTTTCTGGCAACCTCTGAATGAGTCCCCAAGGGCGTGCTTGCTTTCCAAGGCCATGGGCCTTTCCTGGGTCCCCAATGGGAGAACAAAAGTCAAAGCAGGAATTTTTTCTTTATGTCTGCAATGGCAGAGCTTCTAGATGCTTTCAAGGAATTTGACACAGATCAGGATGGCTTCCTCAGCTACAAAGATCTGGGAGATTGCATGCGAACCATGGGCTACATGCCTACAGAGATGGAGCTGCTGGAGGTCTCTCAGCACATCAAAATGCGCAGTGAGTTGAATATTTATGTGCTTCTCCAGTTTCTAAGGCTCCCGGTTAATAATAATCAGAGGATGGAGTGCTGCTGACAAGGCTACTGAGGTAACCATGTCAGTATCGGGTAGTTTTTCAGTCTCCGTATACGGGAGTCCTGATTTCATTTGCAATTGATAATTTTAATTGCAGTTGATAGAAAACTGCTCAGGTTTTTGAGCTGCAGATGACATGAAAAAAATAATTAAGAACTGGTTCTAAAAGACATACAGCAATTCTTCAAGTTTCAGTTTCTTTCACAAGTTCCAATTGCAATGCACAATGTATCAATTGAGTATTCATATATGCATCGTTTTTGTATATATGCTGGCTGTGTTTTGGCTCCATCCTACACATATGCATATAAATGTGCAAAAATAAATCCCAAATCAAAATGGATTGCATCACTTGACATTTCATAGTTCACGTTTGGTAAGAATGACATTTTCTAGAACAGAATTGGTTTTCTAGTATATTTTTAATTAAAAGAATAAACATCAGCTTAGCTCTGAATAATGTAATTTGTCTCTGGCTGCTAAGCTATTGGTTTTTTTCCTCAGTTGTATGCAAAGTCGCACGGTTCTGCTTCCATTTTTTTCCTTTCTCATCTACTGGCATACCTAGGTGCTGCTTCCAAAAGTGTTTTGAGTTGCAGTTATTCTGTAAACTGTACGGCAGACTTAGAAAAGCTCTGTTTAATTTCCATAAATACCTTTTAGGGAAAAAAGTGATATTTTTTTTGCAAAATTCCTGCTTCTAAGGTCAGTGCAAGAATGTGAGAAGCAGGAGTGGGTACGAGTGTGGTTCACCCCAGCAGAGAAATGTGATGTATGGACAGAATATTTACACTTCATAATATTTAGGCATAGGGATGAACAGATATTTAGAGGATGTAAATTAGATTCAGAATTATGTTCGTAGCTCATTACATTGCTTCTTAAATTACCCACAAACCATTTCAATAAAGTTGAAGAAATTTTGATCTCCCTGAAATGCTTTCAATCACCATGTTACCCCATGTGTTGTCTTCTATTTCGTTTTATGAAACTGATGCTAGAAGATGAGTTATGAACTGTTGAAGAATAGGAAATCTAAGAACATGTTAATCTCATTCTTTTTCTATAGGTATGGTAAAAATTTACAGAGTTCTGAAAGTTAGCTACTGTGGGAAAATAGAATGCTGAATTAGACATGCTTTTGGTCTGTTCCAACTTACTAGATTTATATGAAACTCTTCGTTTCATATAAATCTAATAAATAAAATAAATATATTGAAGAAAAGTAGTTTATATATCTAATAGCATCATCTCCTACCTTATTCAAAAGTGCTTCTTCCGTCAATTGAACTAAACTTTTCTTGTTATCTCTCCTCTTAGTGGGAGGGCGTATAGATTTTGAGGAGTTTGTAAAGATGATGAGCCCCAAACTGCTTGAAGAAACAGCTCATATGGTGGGCGTGAGGGAGCTGAAGATCGCCTTCCGTGAGGTATGATAGCAAAGTCATGAACTGGATATGTAAAGTTGTGCTGAAACCCATGCATAATATTTCCATAATTATTGATACTAAATCATTTTATGAAATGGAAGAAGAATAGAGGTTTTGGTTAGAAATATGCTTGTCCCCGAGGCAGAAAATACAGCATACAGTTGTGCTGCTACTTTATTACTGGAAAATAATTAAGTTAAATAACAAGGGTCATTTAATTATTTCAAGATGTGAAATATGTAAAACAGAGATATTTACTGAGTAATCTTACCAAGGATAGAGTGGGGGCAACTGAGGCAGAAGGGGCCCACTTCCTAACCCTGCTAAACTTATGTGAAATGGCTGGACGTGATGGAATCTGGGATCCTTACTTTGAATGGGATGGACTATTCTGGACTATTTCAAGAGAAAATACATGTCATCCAACACACTAACCCCCTTTTGCCTTCTAAACACTGGAGGTCTGAAATTAGTTGGTATTTGCTGCTAACCTCAGTGAAGAAGTAGAGTTTATCTTTTTTTTTCCTCTGAGGAGGGAAATCTGAAAAGAGATACGACTCCTCTGTCTAAGTCCAGAATCCTAACGTTTCACTTAGATTAGCACAAAATGTCACCACTCAAATATTCTTGTGGCTCAGACAGCTAGAGGGGCTAGTAAGATGGTATCATTGGGAATAAATACAGATGCTCTTTTGATCAATTGAATGTCTTGAAGTAATCTTACTCTATGTACAAGTATCCTCTGTGTTTGATATTCTTCTTTTCTATCTGCAAATGGCGCCTGTCTTTTTCTAGCTCATTTTAGCTTTATATATTTCTCTCATACTGGCTCCACAGAACAGAAGACTATATTTGGCAAAATGCTTAACCTCTTCCCTTCTCCTCACTCCCTAATGGAATGTTTGTTCTGGGTAAACAATATTAATAAATTGAAAAATATTACTGCAGTGCCTTTTGATTTACACCCAGATTTATTTATCTGATTGATTTATTTAGATTGATGTATTTATGGTTCTTTAAAGAAAACTCTTTAAGTGAATAGACATAGACAAAGGTAATAGAGATCCAAAACTGTATCTCCCATTGTAGCGCTTTACCTCCAATATCTTTTGCAGATAGAACAATTAAAAGTTATATGTGCTTTTGGAATGAGGAATGGATTTTAAGATAGGGACAGTTAATTATAGCTTTATTGAACAGCAAGGAGCTAAGTCATCTAGCTTATAAAATGAAGTTGATGCTTCTCAGTGCTATGAAAATCTATTTCCTGATAGGCCATGGTTACATTTCAGAAGACATAGAACACATCCAGACAACCAGTTTAATGTGACTTCTTTAATCCATGAGGCTGCATCAACCTAGAATTGCTATATCTGTCTAGCCAATGTCCACTTTGCTTTGGTAAAGAGGCCAGTGAATGGTATTATTTTAACAGTTTATTGCAAGGCTTAATAAGCTGCAGCTATTGTTGGATTTGGCAATGGAGAAAATATCTATCATTTGCTCTCTATGATATGGATAATGGCCTGGAGAGGAGGAAAGTTTTGAGAGATAGACCCAACTGATTATCTTGCAAACACAATTGAATGTTCTGAGTTTAAAAGGGGAAATGTTACTTTACTACCAGTACCGCCAAGGAGAATTTAAAACTATCTCACTGATGAGCTGAAGGCAATTTCATGGGGAAGTAGTAGGGGAAAAAAGTTGCCTGGAAAGGTTTGTACCATTGGTGACCTGCAAATAGGAAAAGGCCCTAAGTTTCTTTCCAGATGCCATTTGCTACATCAGTAAAATGCTTGATTATATAAAAATAAGATATTCAGATGATACCTGTCTATCTACCAATCTGGAGATGAGGCAAGACATTTTTATTCTCTCATTTGCTTCTGTACTGTAGAAAGTCCTTTTTTTTCCAGAAAACCAATCCTTTAATGGCATTCATAATTCCAGACTTTTCAAAATATTTCTTTCCAGGAGGCTAGTCCTTCTATGATGTCATGTCCAAAGACTTCATTCCCTTAAGCATTATTTAAGCATTATTTTTATTTTCCCTCGCAGTTCCTTCCCAGTTCATTCAAAGATCTGGCTAGTTTCCAAAAGCCTTGTGTTTTCTTTATGTAAGACAATCAGATGAACCAAGGCAAAGAAAAGCAGATGGTTAAGGAATTGTTTTATTTTCTTTCTGTGATCAGGAAATTAGTCTGATTTCTGTCAGAATAGAGCTCAACCAAACTCAGGTCAAAGAGGAAAGGGAGATAAAAATTGGTGGCCAAACAGTAATTATTAGTTAATTTGAAAACTTCAAGGACAATCATTAATTATTAATCCCATGACATCAGTGGTGGGATTCAAATTATTTTACTACCGGTCCTGTGGGCATGGCTTGATGGGCATGGCAGGGGAAGGATACTGTAAAATATCCAGTCAGGGGTGGTATTTGCTGGTTCTCTGAACTACTCAAAATTTCCGCTACCAGTTCTCCAAAACTGGTCAGAACCTGCTGAATACCACCTCTGCATGGCATAGTCATTAAATATGCTGGCATTCTGCACCTATGATAGCCACAATCTTGGTATGAGCTGTTCTCTTGGTCAGTAGCCCTTAAGCTACATGTTTCCTCTGCACCCCAAATAGGACTGCAGAACCTTGAAATTGCATTACTAAAATATGGCAGCAAAGTCCATTTTATGCAACATGATTTTTTTTTCAAAATAGAGGAGGAAATGGGAGGGAGAGGCCTGTGGGAAGGCAAACTACACTGCCATTAAATCCCTTCGCTACCAAATATACAAAATTTTAATGTTGCAAAGGAATTATCATGCTGATGTTATTCTTGTGCAATTATGTAACCTCATGCCAATTGTCTGTCATTTAGGAGTGTACAGAGAAAAAAGATAGCAAGATTGGAGAGTTTGAATAAGCATCAGAAGAGAAGGTAGAGGAGGGAAATAAGAATGGGAAGGCTAGATGGAGAATAAATAAGAAAGGAAGGTTTATTTATAACTTAGATGTATAAAGGTGTCCCGCTGAGGACAGACTCTGGATAGCATGCAATTGAACACAATATTTAAAATAGGAAAAAGAAATACATAGAATAACGTTAAACTAAACATAATAGGGAACAATATGCTGTAGCTAAGACAAACTACACACCAGTAGGCATGCCACGAATCTCTCCCAGAGCTTGGGAAAGGAGCCAAGTGTTTAAATATCATCTCAGCATGAGTAGGCAGTCCAAAGCCTTCCAGGGAGAAATTGTTCCAAAGAGCAGGTGCTGCAAGAGATGTTTGAGTGGGAAGTAAATACAGTGAGTTCTCAGGCAATTCCTTCTTTCTCAAGTTTGATACAGATGGAGATGGAGCTATCAGCAGTTTAGAGCTGCGCCAGGCTGTGACTGCTCTCTTAGGTGAGCAACTCAATGCCCAGGAGTTGGATGAGATCCTGCAGGATGTAGATCTCAACGGAGATGGAAAAGTGGACTTTGATGGTGAGAAAAGTCAGCACATGTTTTGTTAACCCTTTCCCCTTAAATACTGCATTCTGAAAGGCAGGATCTGTTTTCTAGAAACAAAGCACTATGTCAGAGGGGATTTTTTAAAAAATGCCAAATAGGTTCATCACAAATAGTACAGGACAACATTGGCTGGGTTGTTTAAAGAATTCAAGAAATAATCTAGAAAAGTTGTAGGTTTCCAGAAATGGATAGCATTGCAATTGTAAATTCCAGTAGGAGCCATACAGTAATAACCTGTTTTCAATTTTATCTGTGAAGACATGCACAAGTTTGAACCAGAACTCTTTCATTTCAATGCATTTAATGTACATTAAAAAAACAGAATTCTTTGCTACTCATTACATCTTTAATAGAAGCAGAGATTGTGGCTACTGCTTGTTTCCCTTTGAAGCTTTGTATGATCTGTAGTCAATTTTGTAACTATTGGCTATCAGAGAATATGGGCCAATTTCAAAATTCACAGTTGGATAAGGTTGACTACCTCTTTTTATCATTGTTTGTATACTAGTAGCCATATCTTTTCCATGGAACATAAACTAGAACTGCAACTCTGAAACATATTGTGATCCCCAAGACATGCATCTCTTCTAAGGACTTATCATAAACACAGCCAGGGGAAGATGAATTTTGGTAGGGTGGAGGGAATTGTGCCAGGAAACTAGATTAACACTTGTACAATATAGTTCATTCCATACATGAGAGAGTTATCACACTGAGAGGATGTAATGCCTGTTGTGATTTCTCCAAGGACCAGGATGCAACTCAGGAGTGGGCTTCAATTTTTTTTAGCAAGGGGCTCTCTAACCTAATGACAGGCTGGGTGGGTATGGTTGGGTGGTCATGTGACTGAGTGAGTGTGGCCAACTTGACATCGCTTCTTTGCCCTAATTAGCTAATATATAT